TTTGAGATTGAATCTGTGTTTTTCTTAACTCAAGGTTTAGGCAAGAGCTGAAATTGATTTTGTTAATCTCAGTTTTGGGATGCAAGCAGAAGGAAGGTGTCAATTCCCTTTTTAGTTCTATCACTTCAGACAGTAGCTAAATTTTTCATGAGATTTGGTTTATGGATCCAGAGGTTTTTGGTTTCTGTCCTGACATCCTGGTGTATGTGACTAGCACTCTTCAAAGCAAAATGTATATAATTAGTACCATAGCTATGGTCCAGAGAAGTTAATGTTTCAGATAAAACAAATTAAAATCGGAAAATTCCATACATAAATTTGCCATGCAGCTTTAGCTTAGACCCTTGTACATATGCTAGATCATAGTTAAGATATATCGTGTTTTACATTGATGATATTATGTCTTTCATTTAGCACATTTCCATCCATTTGTACTCATACATGCTTAATTAATGATCCGCTGTACCGGTTTGATGTTTTTCATATCTATTCTCTAAGATACATCTTGTAATAGATTTTTCACAGTTCCATATGTAATTGTTTCAATCAGATAAAAATTGCACAGAATACTCAAGTAGCATTCTGTAAATTAAAGTCCAAAAAAAGACTGATTTTGTCTAGATTTTCTTTCTAATATAGATGTTCTGGAATTTAGATTTCATAGAGTGACTCCTACTTGAGTAAAGTCCTGTAGATTTCAACTTTTTCTTTTACAATGCTGTAAGATTTTTACAGTCACTACAGCAACTGGTAGTTCAAAAATAGTCACTGTTGTGGTTTTTTGATTGTATTTTATTTTTTAAAAAATAAGCTCAGAATTTACATACAAGGTGATCACGTGCACAAATTCTACCTGCTCATATAGGACAACAAATAATTTTATGAAGTCTGGGAAAAAATTCTTTAGATTCCTCAGTTGCAGGTTATAAATCTAGCATGCCTGCACAAGAAGTATTCAGGAAAAGTAAAGTTAAAGTAAGATAAAGTAAAATATTCAAGGTTCTGCTGAAGTCTTTACTGATCCCATATTGTCCACGTAGCTGTGGAAGAAAGAAATCCTTTTCTTTAGGTAGTGCTTGATAACTGTCACATTTCTTTCAGATGAAGATAAAGGTTAAGTGAATATTCTTAGTATGCCATCTGGTTAACTTTTAAAGTGTTAACCTTTAAATGTTTTAAAATATTTTTGATTGATTTTTTTCTTTTCTCTGAGGAGATCTCTTCAGCTTTTCTGTTTTAATAGATCTCTTATAATAACACTTCAACATACTCGAATCATGTAATGCTGTAGTTAACTCAAGATCGACATTTTTCTCTAATGATTCAAGGTTGTCTTGATTGAGTCTTTTAATTTAAACAACCTCATTTCATTCATGTTGAAGGATTTGCCTTGTTTAAAGGCATTACTTCTATCATACATTTGAAAAATATACAGTTGTGTCGTATCTCACTTCTATATCTGTCTCCACAATTTGCTTATGATACTCTAACTTTTAGACATAGTAGAAAATGTGTAATCTTTTTTTTTTTGTAAATATAATGCCAGTTTTCTTTCTGCACTGAATTAGCTGAAGTTTCTTAATAAATTGTCAAAGCTGCTAACTTGTGACTTGTATCTATCATTTAACTTCTGAGCAATAGCTCATATTGAATTTCAGTAAATATGGACAAAGGTAGATAAAATCTTGATTAAAAGTCTCCGGTTAATTTTGAACATAAGTTATAAGCTATGATCACTGAGGTTTTTTCTCACAGAAGGTCACTTAATGCAGCATAAAAAAGCTTATATATATATTATTTTTAATAGAGCAAACACAACTGAAATATATTTTTGGGGCTTCATTCAGAAAGTGCAGACTTCAAGTGGCTCTTGAGCTATGCTGTAGGAACATTTATTTATGAGTTTGTGGAAATTTTGTCTTTTTTTTTTTGTCCTGCTGTTCTTTCATGTTTTAAAAACTTCTTTCTGTGCTGAAGTTGTTTTCTTTCCCTCCTTTTATGTTTGCAAGTGTTCCATTCTGCGTCTCTTAACTGTGCTGCTTTGAGAGACAATTAGACTTCCAGAACCTCTGCTGATGTAGTCAGCATCTGAAGCGGAATTTATAGCTGTTACATTTTGTCCAAATGCTTCACTCTCTCCTTCTGAATAAGCCAAAAGGACCTTAAAATTATATGTTTTTATTTAGTCTGTGCACCCTTGTTTGTACATGAGGATAAAACGGTTTCATGGAATAAGCTCCTGATCATGCCTCTCTTTCTCTTGGTTGGGTAGCAGAGAAGAGTAACTTTTTTTTTCTTTATGATCCACTGATGCTTTCCAGAAGATTGTTTGCATTCTGGTTTGAATAAGTATATTCACTTATTTCACGCGATGGGGGGTATCAGATTCCAAACGGAGGATTTACAGAAGTCACAATCCTGAAGCTCCAACCATACATATGGTCCAGGTGCTCTCTACTCCAATATGGATACGGTTTTCCATTTCTTCATTTTTAATGACTTTCTGATGACTTGGCTATGAAGGACATCATTCTCTGAAATCAAAAGAACCTTATTTTTATTGTTATTTATTAATTAAGTATTTTTATAGTGTGTAAAATGAATGGATGTTTCCAGTTATTAGCATGCTGTGGTCTCACCCTCTTTTCACATGTGACAAGGCAGATTTAACATCAAATGCTCTGTGGGATCAAAGCAACAGAGTGCTAGTGCAATCAGTGGCTATGGCAAAAATTTGCTATAAAATTAAATGCTAGATCCTTAATGAACAATCAGTTATTTGTCTGGTAGTCCATTTTTAGCCACCCTGAGACCTACATAATTCTGTCAATTGTCAAACACTGATGGCTTCCCAACCTCAAGTTGTATGAAATGTGGCAATCGAGGATTTGAGTGCTCATGCCTTAGATCCAGATGATGACCATGTATATGACCAAGGGTATTTACTGTCTTTGAACAGCCTGAAATTTCATGTTGTGAAGAGAAGATTCTGAGTGTTTTTTCTGGTGATAATGAAATTACAACATTACAGGGCATTTGAAGCCCACATCCTTCAGTGTTCCCCTCACAAAGTATCTGAGGGCCCTTCGGAGATTACTGCATTACAGCCCATGGAATAAAAGTCTGCGCTGGCCATAACAGTGTTCTATAACCACATTCTAGATGCCTGTAGAAAAGTTCATTAACTTCTAGAGACCGAAGGCTTTCTGTTTTTCTCTTACATTCTTTTGAAGTAGTTACCCACCTGTGACTACATGGAAATTCAGTCTGGTTCAGTGTGACAAAGTTGCTGAAGTGTAAGGCAGATTCTTACAGGGAAAAGAAAAAAATCATTTGGCAAATCTGCCGTCTTCTCAGAGAAGATCCTTGCTGATTTTTGTCTTTAAATGGCGAGAGCTATGCTTTCTTGCTGAATGCTATATTTGTTCATGCTAAAAGATCAGAGAATTATTAAAATAATTCTCAAAAGCAGAGGTAAATTGATGTCTGATGCAACCACTGGAAGGGCGTCAGACTTTCTAGTTTTCCATGTAATTATCTTTTAATGAAATATTTTATTAAAAATAGAAATTAGTGAATGAAGGAAAATGGATTAACAATATGAAACTACTTTGATTTGTCTGAGGAGAACCTTTATGATATTTATTAGACATACTGTTCTGTACTCAGTCAAATAGCTATGTGGGTGGGACCTGATAAATGTATGAGG